GTATCCTTGGTAGGAAAAGATGTATAATAATAACAAAGGTTATTACGAAGATACCTCAAACTAAGAGTATGCACTCAGACAGTACGCTGTCGCATCGACCTCCGCTGCGCGTCGGTCGATACTGCCGCTGTACTGTCTTCGTGCATACTTTGAGGTATCGTCATAATAACCTTATAGTATTATTAAGGTGGCACGGACCTTTAAGCTAAAAGATAATACATTGGTGAGTCAGGTGCATAATGTAAAATAGGATCAGCTTACTAAAAAAATAGAAAAAAAATATATATATATATAATATGAATAAAAATTAAAGCCATTTTTTACAAGTTTGCGTGATAGCTTTTTTTTATATACCATTTTTGATACTTATTTTTCTAACTCCTGTGTAATAAAATCTTATACGATCTTTATATTTTGGATGGTAATCATAGTCATAGTTCACCCGAGTTTTATTCCGCCATAATCATATCTAATTGTGAAATGTAAGACGAGAAATGTTATGACAATGACAAATCACAATACTTTTGCACACACAAAAAAAAACAGTCGGGAAATAAATGTAAGGCTGTATCTACTTTTCGGAAAATTAGTGTACTTAGTATAGAAAGTAAAAATATATAAGGTGAAAAACAATTTCGTTATTAGTATTGTTTCCTAAAAGGTGTCATATTAAAAGACATTATGTTATTTCCCCATGGTATAAGGACATCTCAATATACGTACAACATCAATGCATGAATATATTCGATGTGTATACATTCTACAAAAATGTGTCAGTGCCATTGTGTGCGTCCTTCATTTGACAATTGCCTTTAAACGAATTATTTTAAGGAATATGAAACTATCGAACATTGATTTGGTTAGAAAACCGGTTTTTGTGTATTTAAATAAAAAAGGTAGATGCACTCAAACACGATGAAACGATTGCCTTCAATGCAATTCATATAATTAATCATCGCCGTTTTAAGCAAGGAAATACCTGTCACAACATATCGTACAATAAGATATTGATTAGATTGGAAAACAGTTTTTTGGTGTCAAAGCTGTAACCTATTTTCAAATTTTGTAGTTAAATAAAAAAATATGGATTCACTCATACAGGAGGAAATGGTTGCCTTCAATGCCATCCATAGAATTAGTCATCGCCGTTTAAAGCGAATTAATACCTGTCAAAACATATCAGACTTTTTCTATCAGACAGGACTGCATGCGTGGGAATGTCTCGTTGCATTACTACATCCATGAGTTCAATAATAGAGGATAATGGTGGATGTTATAAAGTAGAAAACGCGTATAATTTATGTTACTCAACTTGAATGTCTAAATACCGATGTATTTCTTTTTCTACAACTTGTAAAAGTAATTTATTACAGTACGCCACGCACTATACAAGATCATCCACTCATATCAACTATATCTTTAACAAACCTGCCTAGAACCAAGATTGTACTCTGAACTGAAACGGCGTAAAGGCATAGCTTATCTTGAGACACGTTTGAAACGACAGAGCCGCCGCATTTCCAAGAAGACGCCAGAGATACCATCTCAGCTACTATTGTCCCACTCCTTGGTTACCGTGACAACCGTTTACTCAAATTGCATCATTACATTAACTAGTAGTCTCTCGACCATGTCTCTCTTGCCTTGCGATATTTACTTTTGACTGGCAAACCGCATAGGAAATAGAACAGTGCATGGGTATCAATTAATAGATAAATTAAATAATTAAGTGCATTATAATTACGTAAACAAACGTGTTTACAAGTAGAGACCAGCCAAATTAACTACATTTCTATTAATGGAGTCGGGAATTATTTACATCGTTTCTTTCGCTGTTCGTCGTTTTACCGTATGCAGTAACATATGTCTCATGCATATAATATTATCTGTTGCATGTAGCAGTGTACACAATATAGTCAGCGTATTGGTTATCCGGGTACCACCACTTTATCATGTCTCTGCGCGTAACTAAAAATATTATATTCACCTCAGTGCACGAACAAATAGTACCGCATACTTCGAGATACTCGTGTAATAGCCTTATTGACAAGAGTTATAAAACCATCATTTTTTTACTCATAATAATAAAAACAAATCTTCTTTTACTCAAAAATAAACCAAGTAAGTAGCATTCCATCTAGTAGTTAATTGAACCCGGTTGTCTGATGGCATGTATCAATATAAAAAGCGATGTTTTGTTAAGAGGTCACATTACTATGCCCGCATTTAGTAGGTTTGTTATATATAGGAATTTTTGACTTGTTGTTTCATCCCAAAACGAAGTATTTTGACGGTAAATTTATTATAGTGCTGCAATAAAAAACAAAACTTTTAACAATTGAAGTAGGTGATGGGTTTTTTATTCGTGACTAGTATTATGCGACTCGAACAACAACTTTTTTGCCTAGAATCATAATGACCCGTTGCAGTTTTGAACGGCAGATCTTATCTTACGAGAGCGCATTTGTACGGAATTGTCTTCACATTATATGCGGAGCGTCGCCGTATGGTAACCCCTAGTGACATCATCCTTGGCTACCTACAGAATATATCTTGATTCCATGTTAACGTTCAGTTGCATCATGCAGATTTGAAGCGAGAACAGATTTCAACGATGTTTAAAAATCGTGACTTGGTACGTATACGACCTTTCTCGTGGTAGAAGTCAGGAGTTAAACATTAATTTGCGTAAAAAAAACGTGGTTTCAAAAAACTACTCCCTGGAGCGTGATGGTTCTTTGTACAAGTATGTGAGTAATCATTTGTTGCATTTGGAGAAATATCACGTACAAATGTTTGCATGAATCCATAAAGCACCAGTAATAACAATTCATTAGCATACACCCCACGTTCCGACCGCTGCGCGTTTTGTCCGTGTGAGCTGCATCGCGTGATATCTTGCAGTTTCTAATCGTTACGTATAGCTTGTTAAAACACTACCAACTGAGCTCTGAACCAGTTAGTCATCCCGCTACGGTGGTGGGAAGGACTACAAGAAAAGATGTTGGGCCCTGTCTCTCATTCAACGAATTGTCTCTCCGTCTCTCGGTGAACACGATCCTACCGGCAATATAATCGTGCAACTCGCTATGGCAATTCTCAATAAATACGTAAACACGACACGTAACAGCTTCGCCGCGTATGCCATTACTCCGTGGACTGTGTCAGTTGTGTTATTCGATTCAACGAGGCCTCAATGGAAAATCCAATCAACGCCGATATTCTGTTGTCAAAGAGTGAAGTGGAGATCGTTCAATGAGTTCTATCCCCCAAAGCGTTTAGGGCGTCAATTACAGCGATGCGTCAATAACCTACTCAAGCGAGTGTCTGTGGTTAGTTTTAAAAAAGTTACACCTCATATTACAATGTCGCTGGTATCACAGGTCTACAACTTTGCTCATTATCAATAAAATGGTAAAGAACTACACGTCTTAAACATGCTGAGCACACACCACAGGTCACGACTATTACTTGTACGCTTCACTGTGTCGTATCGCAAAATGCCATATTTGATATATTGGGAATTGTGTTTCTGAACTACTTCGTACAACCAGACAGACCATAAGATATATCGGAATTGCTGGCGCACCGGGAGGGATTTAGTAGAAAATTTATTTTCGATATAACTTCAATAGAGTGGTATAGAACGTTGCAAACTATGCATCGTCACATAAACGCATATTGACGAGTCGCGATGCACCCGTACGTGTGATCAATATCGCATGCACGATACCCCAAGCGTTTCCTCGGCGTTGTCACGCTTCGAGTCGTGCTAGTTATGTAAATGGTCTGACGTTATCGCTGTCGTCGTGAAAACAATACTGATGGTGTGAAATTCCTTCAAACGTTTCATGCGCTGCCATGTGACCCCAGGGGCGACGGGTCAAAACGAAAACTCGTGCGCTATTATGTAAATTTCTCTATGAAAGGGATGCGCAATTCGATTTGCAGCTAATTACGTGGGCAATAATGAGCTATGATTCTCCTGTTAACGTTTCATCAGCCACGGATGCCGAATGTTTAAATACTGAAATTGGGCAAGAGTCCCATGATGCAATGCGTATCACGTGACAACGTGGTAATTGTTAGCGGTACTGATTTAATAAAAAATGTTTGTATTCCCTTTACAGTTTCTTAAATAGCAATCACGGTATATCGATCAAGGATGAGTTGACCAATTTGTATAGGACAAAGTTTTTAGAAACTTGACTAAAATAGTGATGGAAACATAAACCGAATATGTGACACTGGGCTAGGCTTAGGTATTCTAGATGCGAACAAGGGCCGCTTCGCAAGATTGATTCCTAAGGGATACACTGTGTCCGATTGTCGCATATCGTCAACTCTGCCCACTAAGAGCTTATAAGTTAAGTTGATGAAAGCTCAAGTAATAACGGCTTATCGCGTTGACGGTGTCAACAACCAATGTTTGAACGACGCCAGTTTTACACCTCGCATCTCGTGTATATTTATCTCAGGAAAGGTCTTAAACTTATCGAAGAGGACATTCACGAATAAACAAGAAAGAATAAAAGCAGCCGATCGAATAAAATTCTCACTAAAACATTTGTTTCTTCAGAAAATATCATCACGTTTTACTATATTGGCGATAATCTCGAATAGGGCAGAAAGGCGTATGTAACACGTTATGTCAATTATATATACACATCCATTAACGTCCGCTATCTTCTACAAGCTCGCACACGCTGATAAAAACAAATACCATATAACTTCCCTAGTTCCTTTCACATGATTATTTCGAGTGGGTAGTGAAGGTTGCGTGCATGGTTTTAAATGTAATCACCATGGAGCCGAAACAAACACCTGCCACGCTTTCTTTGTGTACGACGCGGTCTTGTAGAATATTAATTTTGTATCTCTCAAAATTAAAATTTGTTTAAATAAAGTGAGTATATTCATGAAAACAGTGGATTTATTACAGGCGTATACAAATCTAGTTTATCCACGAGATTTAAACAATGTCAGTGTGTCAAGCTTACCTTCAAAGTTTGGTCGCATGCGTTTATCGTAACCCGTAAGTAGCCTATCGACAAACTGAGAAGTCCATGTTATATTTCTCTTCGGCGTGGTTCCAGGTTCCCCGTCGTCTCCTACGTACATTTCGGCTAACTTGGAAGACGGTGTTGTCTCTTTCGCATTATCACCCAGGTAGTGTGAATCGTTGCCGCCCGCCTGGCTGCTGAAGAAAATCAAGATAATGCTTGCCGTCAGTAAAACAGAACACGACTGTGTCACGCTAAAGGATGCCATGTTGGCATATATACTACACAGGCAAGCTCGGTAACAGTAATGAAGTCTATCTCATATATCTGTCCGTCGCGTTAAAACGGACTGTGTGCTCTGCGATGCACGGTGCAAATGTGGAGAATGCGAAGTCAACGCAATACATAACTCTTCCCACGCAATGTTGTGACATGCGCAGTCCCAACCAGTCTATGATGGCGTTTTTTAACATGACGCGAAACACCTTTGTTCTTTGTTCCACCGACCTAGTTGGAAGTAGTACATTTTAATCATTCTACACTAGTTACATTTTTTTAATTAAACAAGGCACGTTTCTGTTTAGTCTGTTAATGGTGCTGGAATTGTATGGGGATGGTCTCTGGTTCACGCACCATTGTTTGTCGTCGTACAGTTAGCACATATTAACTATTTATTTCAGTAAAGATCACGTTTTCCGACTTAACCACGTATGTTCAACAACACACTTATACGACGCAATGAATATATCGAGAGCCCAGTAATTTCTGGCAATTAAGCAAACACCGTCCCATTTATCGGCATTCAGCCGCTGTCCTGCAATTCAATAAATGTTTTAATTTACGGCATATACAGCAATACGCCCAACATAGTATTGGAATTAATGTTTCTTTGTATGAGTTGTTGTAATTTTCATAAGTACCAAACCCTATAAAGCGATAACATTAATGTTGTCTAATAAAAAGCGATAATTATCAGTTTAATTTATATCGCCACGCAATGTCAAATGAATTTTTATTTTAGCATCATCCGGGTCATCAATCCAACATTTTACAATCTGGCATAATGAAAACAAACATATGTTTACTCCTTCCCTATTGACACTGGGTGCAAACACTCATCAGGGATAAGAATAAAGTTTACGGATTTCTGGTTTTGGTGACATTTGAGAATGATACTGTGTAGTCTTTAAATGTGGAAAAGGGCGTTTTTTGTGTTTTTGTGTTTTTGCTTTTTCTATTATTTTTTTCAACCACATGATACTGGATCAAACCATTTTTGTGTGGTATCAAATGAATACGAAGACGTAGGGTACAAGCTATGCATATTTAAACAGCACCAGGACATCTAAGAAATTGTTTCGTTTGCATGCAGTTATCATAAACATATACATCATTTGACATCATAATGTGTTTTCTTATTTGGTCACACACATATCAGTCAAGTAATATATGCGTGCCCCTTATCTCTAACGACCATACGAATGCGTGGCACAGAGTCGCCTGACTATGGACATCAACGCACACATCAACGTAGCTGAAATCCCCACTGAAATTACTATGTCAAATCGCAATTGCATTTAGCACGACGCTAAAACAAAGTAGTCCGGGTTATAATTAATGGTGATTAGTAAAATTACTGTGCACATTGCGTGAATATTTATTAGCTTAATGTATTGCCTTGACAGTAATTGAAATTTACGACAATGTCGCAATATCCACGGTTAATGAAGTGGACATGGGATGAAACCATGTTTTAAACATCTGGTGATTTTTTACTTATTACATACTTAACAAAACTGCAGTAAATTTAAGTGTTCACAGGGTAGTTTCTACTCTATGAGAATTGTCCTACTCGTATAAATAATAAATTTAACCACGATGAGGTTAAGGGGCCAGGTTGTTAATACCTGGAACAATTCACTAGTACATCATTATGTTTGTACAGATTTGTGAAATTACTTTTCATATAGATTCAACCATACGTTTCTACTTTACGTTTTATCTTACAATCACCGACGATCCAGTACGCGTATTTTTATTTTTGTCATCGAATTAAAAATGAACACGAAACAAATACTCTCGCTCGATGTCGTTGCATAGGAACAAATCCAGTAGTCACGAATCGCTAGAATAATCAACACTTAACTCCCTAAAGTATGAAACCAGAATATACATTCATCGAACGCATGACTTAATTTTGCGACGTGTAAACAAAAGGCAAAGTGTTATCTATATTGAACAGCACCTCGATTAGAGGTCGTAAGTCTCCCAGGAGTATACGGTTGAAGGAATCGCGTGTCTGTTGTCGGTTTACGCAGAGTAAATTACTGAAGCCTTTTAAGTGATATGTCATGTACCGGCCCTGAAATAAACAAGTATGTTTCACTAACCTCGGGCGAATGAATGTGAACACAGTTTGCATCTACGAAACCAATTTTTTTCTTTGTGTACGAATTATCCGTGTTTATCTCCGGACTCATGCTTGAATGGCTAGATGCCATTCACGGGTACACGGAATATTGTTTATGTATCAACTGTGAATTGACGATGGCTCGTTGATTCGTAGTTTGACAGAGTGTGGCCGGATGCCTCTTGTTTTGCAGTCAATGTAAAAACGTGCGCTTAAGTGTATATGATTAAGAAACGTCGTGTCTAGACGCCGCTGTAAATGAAATGCTATTACGACGGCCTTCGCGACAATTCAGCCGTATACCGTCAAGAAATCACAACCTTCTCTGATCAAAAGACTCGCGGCATTATGTAGAATAACTGACGTAACATTTTAAAATATCGACAATGTCGATTTCTCCACATATTGAGATTATCAAAATACTCAAATTCTAATAAAACACGTGACGCTTGAATGATTTCTCTATTGACGAAAGAAAAAAAACGATCACATAATACATGTTGAATCGTCACCGACACATAAGTTAACGCATTTTTGATATGTGCTAACTTAACAGTTATAAAAATTTTACTTTTTGCTACAAATCTGTACGTATGCACTCCAGCGTTTTATGTTATCTGGAATTAGAATGACAAACCTAATGCGGGCGTGATAAGGAGAGGAGGGGTGTATTCTACTATAAGAAGATATAAAGTTTCAACTTATGTCAAGTAGTTCAAGCCACTGTCATTCACTGTCAAATTATTCATTCAGGTATTTAGTACTTGGAGGAGGTATATGCTACTCACAAAAGTAACAAATCTATCCTCTGGCGAGCGGTTAATTTGACGACGACTGCCCGAGGAAATGCATGATCAGTAGTACGGAATAACTTGTGGAGATTCCATGACTCACAGAACTATATAATGCATTGATGTGCTCCACGGCATAGACAAATCTTTGCTCGTATCTCTGTTAAAACTTTGATCGTTACTGGCAAACGTTTATTTTTAACGTGCGACTCATGTTCACGACTCTTGTTGTACACTGGTATCTTCCCACATTATCTTATGGTACATTATAGGTAATCGACATTATAGGTAATTGATGATTTTATCGCTTATTATTGAATTCGTTCACTGTTGACATTTCCGGTGAATGTTTTCTCTTCAAAGGGAAATTTCTTTCGCCAAACCTTTTCTCAAATATGCGACTTTATTTAAAACATTCCATATTTTCTTACTATAAATACTAAATTAGTTATTCCTTATTTGGTATAATATGGTAAATTTATTGCCCGCCGTCTATGTATGCAACCAATATTGTGGTTGTTGCATTTGTATGATGAATATGTGACCTTGACTTTGATAGATGTGATTTTAAAAAAGAAACAAAATTATAACGGATATACATATATACAAAACAGACTCTGTATTAAATGATAGCCAAATAGCACCATCTTTTCGAAAAAATAATATTAGCCTGAAGGTCAGCCTTCGCTGTCAGAATAACGTATTACGTCATCAGCTGTAATACACTCAGTCGACTTTTTCTATCGACCACATGTCTATTCTGTCAGTTTGTGTACATTTCCACTTCAACTATTGTACACATTAAGTAGCCCTTATCTGGTCTAGAATAGAGTGCTCGACGCGGGAAATGCATGTTGAGTGGTTTATGTATTCGATTGCTGCAGGAACAAATTTTCATCCTTTCTACATGCACATCATGAGCTTCCCTGCTCATTTCGTAACGTAGAATACATTGTTTATATAAGTTTCCGCGAAGCGCTACGTGACGGTTACTTAGATGATATTGACCTGAACTCGTCCGTTCGATTTTTCAATGACTTTACAGCAAATGTAGAATTGTATTTTAACGATATTCGTCCAATCCATCTACGGAAAGGAAATGTGTGTTATGTGGCTTATTTGTCCAAAATTTAAAAATTGCAAATTGTACTCACAAGCTCGGACAAGTATCAGTTTGATAATAATGTCTGTTTACATATTTTAACGGATTCGCATTCTCACTTTCTTTACTGACAGTGTACTGTGATCTTGGATGTTCAAGATTCAGACCCGAGTCATATCGCCAATGCGTGAAGTGTATGTAATCAGTTGTTTCAGTGTGCACTCAAGACAAGGTCGAAGAACATCTACATAGTGTGGGCTTAATGGATATGTTGAGTTCTAGGACGTGGAGACACGCAGAACACCTGACGCCTCTCCTATACCGGGCGTCGATGTGAAGAAGCACATCACCGTTAAGTGTTTGTCTGTTTTCTGAAGAAAAGGTGAATAGTTTATAATATACGTTGATGAAAGTTCGTTTCTCGTTCGTGCCAGTCACTTGTCTCATTTGATTGTGTCTGAAACTTTCCTTTTTATTATATGATACTACACTATACACTCCATTCGTCTTATGAAAGATATATCTTATACTCCAGGCTTCTTTCTTCATATACGTTTTCAAAATCACAGCTGTACACACAATGCAATGTACAACGCAAGAGGTACACGTTTCAACACCCATGTACTAGCCTGAGTGTAATACACGTAAACGAATATCCATCACGTTTATCTAAAGAAAATGTCCTTGGTTTTATTTTTTCGTCTATAGTCTTGCACGGCAATAATCAATATATACATATAGTATCATTAATTTCCAAGGACTTTCATGAATTCAATGGAATGTAACATAATATTTATGAAACATGGACAGAAATTGTATTATACAACGGTCCAATGAAACAGCTTCCGACTGAATGGATGTCGTCATACAGATTCACTCGAAAGCCACTGTGTGTTTTTCTCATTATTCATATATTGAAAAACTAACAAAGAATACCACAAGCAACCTACGTAGAACACATCAGA